GATTATATGATTTTTTTTTTTTTCAATGGATGACTTATTTTCATCTTTCATTTTATATTTTCTTTTCCTACATGGCAATCATAGCCTTAAGCTCTTGAATAGAGGATGAGGTTTGCTTTGTAATGGCCATTCAAAATGAATCTATTTAAACTTGGAGATGTTAGAAGAATGTAGGTTTAGAAAATGCACGGCGAGATTTTGGGCTGTTGAGGATCGTTGGAAAGATATTCGTTGGAAGAATTAAAAAAACAAACGTCGCTTTGCGTTTGAGCTCGAAATTTCTATTATAATATGCTTCAGAAGCGGAAAGATGATTCTGATAGAACCCATCGAGCCTGACAAATTCTACCATTTGCAGCTCGTTATGAGCCCTTTCATTATTTTCAGTATTTCCTATTTTATTCCTATATTTGTTTCCATATGTTTAAGGTTTTGAAATCTTTATATACGAATTATAAATTAAGAACAGTCTTGTTAAACAATTTTTGTATTATTTCGCACTGTTTGCATAATTGGTGTAAGCTGTATATGATGCCATTAATAAGTATTAACATATCTGCAGATTGTATTGCTTTGATCTGAAGCTAGTCTTCAAGGGCATAAAAATGGAAGACAATACATCATCTCTGCATGACATTGCTCATTCATTACACTTTGTCCCTTGGCCATTTTATGCCAAAAGTGCTCATAGGATCATAATTAAGATCATGGGATAGCATATTATTCTACAATACAAATGAAATACGAAAAAATCAAGGGACTTTATCACCGTACGATCCACACATTCATATAAGTGTATGTGAGTGAGTGCGATTGTGATTGTGTGGTGATCCACACCATATATGACGAGAGCTTTAAAATCCCCATTATAATGACGCAAGAAACAAATCGATCGAACTTTAAAGTCTAGAAAACTCATACTGCAGACGAAAAAAAAAAGGTCTAATTCAGCACCAAATACTCGTCCAGCAAAATCCATAAAGTTTCCAAACGTACTCAAACAAAAACACATAAGATCCAAGAATCAAAACAAAAATAACCAAAGTGTTCACATAAACAAGTTAGGCCTAGACGCTTTGTAAGTGGTCTTAAGCTTCCTAGTCGGGGGCCTCACCTTTCTGAACACCAAGGGGAACTTGATCTTCGAGTCGTGAAACTGCTTGGTGCTTTCTCGCTTGCAGAGCTTAGCGGGAATAGTAGCTGTTTTGATGATTTGGATACAGTGGTGACGGACCCTATGACGAGAGGCCATCTCAGTGTACATTTGCTCGACTGCACCATTGAGGGTTGTGTCACGATACTCCTTGTACATGTTGTGATAGCCAGTTCTACTCTGGTACCTTAACCAGATCCCATAGTTCTTGATTGTGGTTGGGTTCTTCTCGAATATCTGATCATAAAAAGAACAAAAAAGGCTTAGGATGGAAAATTCGATGCAAGATTACCGAGTGAAACACTGAAAAAGAGAGCCAGTAGATCTAATTTTAGGGCACGAATATGCATACTTTCATAAAAAAAAAAAAGGTCAGTACTTCCAAAAAACAAGATGAACAAGAGTATAGAACACAAACATGCCTAATGGTTAAGCTGACTCAACATAATAATTTGTGTTTGATGAAATAGGGAGGGCGTTTTCAATCAAATTCACATGATAGGGCAAGAAAAGATTAATGGCAAAGAGGTAAATAAAGGAAGGAAAAAGAAAAGTTACGACAAATAGTGTATGAGATGAGTTTTTTATCACCTTAGTGCACATTATTACAACATTTAGAGCAATTTGTAAACTCAATGTAAACCAAAAAGTTTTAAACATATTATTCAGTAGTGCATGAACATTGAGTTCCTGATTTAGTTACAAGAATGCTCTAAAGAACACAAACATGGTTAACAAAAATGCTACCAGAGTATGGAATATACATGTGTTGCAGAAACATAACTGAAATGTTAGTGCTCTGGAGTTCAAAGCCGGAAATAAAAACGAAACTTAATAACACAACATAATTAGCTCATCTAAACTCGTGGCAATGTGCATAAAATCGGAAAGTACACACAAATCAAAAAACAGGTGCTTAAGTCCAGCAAAACACAAGAACTTCATAACGGGAATGAAAAATTGGGGAATGCAAATACAACTCAACTTTGTCCATTGCAAATGGAGTTGGAAGAGTCATTGTTGACAATTCTCCTGGCATAGTGCTAATAATGGACTAGATCAAAATGGCTCAATTAAATTCTAGTGCTTCTTCTATTGGTGAAGTTTCTAGAATAAAAATACATCAAACGACGCAATGCGCCTTGGGTCGCTACGGAAACAGTCTCCTTGTATAATTACAAGGGTAAGGTCTGCATACAACTGACCCCCCAGACCCCAACCAGTTGGGAATATACTGGGTATGTTGTTGTTGTTGTTGTTGTTGCAAATACAGCTCAACACATAATAGCTTGAAGAATCAAGTGGTATAAAATATTACATACGCAACCAAACAAGGTCTTCTTCCACACAAGAATTTAGAACGAGAACAAAAATTGGGGGATGTAGAGTTCGAAGCATAACACAATTCAATTAGGTCAATCGCGTGAGTTCATATACCTCATTGATAGCAAGAACCTGACCATTGCTCTTCTTCACCTTCTTAAGCTTCCTCAGAAAGTACCTTCACAGAGAGAAACCAATCATTAGGGACCCTTTTAAGTCCGAATTTTCTATAAAGCTCTCCGTCTAATGCTAAAAACTAACA